ACTCATTTTCCATGCTGTTAACCGTTGGACAATACACACCTCTATTTCCTATTGCATCTTGTATAGAGTAGATCATTTTTTTTTAATCCTACGAAACAAATATTTTAAGAATCAAGAAAAGAAATAAAACAAGAAAAGAACGTTGATTTATTAGCAATTAAAATTCCTTAAATAATTATTGACTATAGCTATTTTTGGCACAAGGCCAGTTTTATGGAGCAAAGTGTTGGTAACATATTTACTTACAATTGCCTGCAAGAATCAGTATTCTTTAAATAACTTTTTGAAATATTTTATGCCATTTTTTTTATTCATTCACCTTGTCAAGAGTTCCCTAACCCATTAGGGTCGTAAGTGCACCACATATACTGCAGCCATTGCATCAGTGGTGTGCCTTGTGCAAGATAACCTGACAGAGACCATCCCTCTTCAGGCTGGTTTTGAATTCAGAATATTCCTTTTCTTAGATTTCTTCAAGCCAAAAGAACCCAATCTACTCTGTTATTTAACCCATAGCTGGAAGAAGATAGATTCATACCTTTTTCAAGGGTGTTAGTGCAAAGTGAATGAAACCGAATCGAGTGATAGATGAACTTGGCACACCAATTTCATTATCTGTGCCTCCATTTTATTCTCTAGAAAAAACTTCATTGCAGAAAGAGCAAAGTAAAAAAAAAAAAAATTCTAAAATGACATCAGAATGAAAATTAATATATTAATAAAATATGCATTGAATTTTTAATACATCAGAATGAAAATTAATATATTAATAAAATATGCATTGAATTTTTAATACATCAGAATGAAAATTAATATATTAATAAAATATGCATTGAATTTTTAATACATCAGAATGAAAATTAATATATTAATAAAATATGCATTGAATTTTTAATACATCAGAATGAAAATTAATATATTAATAAAATATGCATTAAATTTTTAATACATCAGAATGAAAATTAATATATTAATAAAATATGCATTGAATTTTTAATACATCAGAATGAAAAATTAATATATTAATAAAATATGCATTGAATTTTTAATACATCAGAATGAAAATTAATATATTAATAAAATATGCATTGAATTTTTCTATCTTTATTAACTTGACCTAAAAGTTTAATTTATAAATAAAAAATAATCACTCAGAATTTTCTAGAATATTCTCTCTTGAATGGTGTAGAAAGTTTTTGTCAAAATTCTACAGAGCCTACGCGAATTTTTGTCAGTTCAACATCGTTATTTTTGGAAATTATGATATTTTTGAGTCAATTGTTTCGTCCACCGCAAGGAAAATTGACTCCCTATGCCGCGCCAGGAAATTTTTCTCCCCAGAATCGATTCTTCAGATTTACAAATCAACAATTCACCCTTGCATGGAGTATTGCTGCCATATATGGTCTGGAGCCCCTTCTGTTTGCCTCGGGGTCTTGATAAGCTCCAGAGGTGGATATGCAATGTAATTGTCCCTGTTCTGGCATCTCGTCTACAGTCGCTCTCTCACAGATGCTGTTTACCCCCCTGTCTTTTTTTTTTTTACAAGTACTTTCATGGTAATTGTCCAGGAGCTGCATTAGCTAGTTCCCCAGACTTCATGAATTCAAGCGCCCTACGAGGCTGGCATCCCACTCTCACCCTTTCACTGTCGAAAGTACTAAATGTAGCCATCTCTTCTACTCCAATAGCTTCATATCTCGCACTTCTGGCCTGTGGAACTCCCTTCCCTATTCCAGTTTCCCTGAGAGCTAAAATCTTCAACTATTCAAATGTAATGTCAATAGACATCTCCAGTTGCCTTGATCTATCCACTATCCTTCTCCTCATCCTTTCCTCTATCACTCCTATCTGATCTTGCTCCAAATCTTCTGTAACCTCTTGCATCCTAGTGGCTTCCCGCCTTGCTTGGGGTGAAACGCTTAAAAAAAAATATTAAGTATTTTCATTATTCTGTATATTTCTCAGATTAATGTCTGCATGTCTTTTTTGTTTTCTCTTTTAAATATTTTCTGTCAGTAGATTCTTCAGCCTTTCCCAGAGGTAAATTGCAACTGGCAATCATTAGAAAAAAGTTTTTTTTTGTTTTTTGTTTTTTTTTTTTTACAGGAGCATGAAATTTCAGTGTCATTGATTTATAAACAATTTATGCATGCAAAAATACTGGATCACTACTTTTTACCTGGCCTTATATTCTGAGCATTCCTTTGGATTTGAAATATCATTTATTTGAAACAAAATTAAAAATAACATCAGAAATAGAATCTAATTTATTTTAACTATTTCTTCAGCAAGTAAAAACTGTAATTTAATTCAAAATTTGTGACTATTGTGAGTATTTGAAAAACTAAAATAATTCAAATATAAAAAGGTCAGTTTTATCTTTTGATTTGAAAAGTCATGCATCAGAAACAAATAAAAACTCACATTAGAAATGCAATAAAATTTATTTCACTTACAACAAATAATTCATTCACATGAAATAAAAAAATCACAAATATATATATTTTTTTTACATTGGTTTTTCAAAGTCATGTTTAGTTTTTAAATTCTAAAGTTTTGCATCACATTCACAATATAAGGCTAGATAAAAAAAAAAAACTAAGTAAGTTGTAAGAGAGACAATTCAGTGTTTGTTACAGGCTAGTCAGTTATGTTCACTTTTGTACTAATGCCATTGAGAAAGGTATGAATTATCTCTTATACCCCCCAGCTATGGGTTAAATAGTAGTGTTGATTGGACTCTCTAACTTTGGGTGGCAACCAGTCTAAGAGAAGGAAAACTCAATTACAAACCATGGAAAACATAATGAGAAAGCACTCAACTATCTCTCCCATGAACATATGGCAATTAATATATGATAAAAGGAATCTATGAAGAGCTATGATCACTTATGTCCTGAAGGAATGTGGCATTAAAAATGTATTGTATCTTTCTGTAGTATTCATTGTTAATAGGAGGTGAGTGTGGTCTGACAGTTAACAGTAAATGGAATCTGTGGAGAGCCATGATCGCTGATGTCCTGACGGGATCTGGCATTTAAAAAAAGTGCTGGAAATGTTTCATTTGATAAACGAATGCGTGTTAACTTATAGTAGTCAATACTATGTCTCTTTTCAACTGCTGTTGATGAGGAAGGAGAGAAAAAATTCCAGAGCAACTTACAAAAATCATCATATTGCAGAGAAAGGCCAAAGAATATCTTGATGGAAACATTATGTAAGAATCAACAAAAACGATGATCATAATCTGAAAAAAAATATCCATCTTATTTAGTAAACTTAATATCAAACCAAAATTTGACTACCATTTTGTATTCAAGACAGACAAATGAAACTTTGTTGTTGTTATTATCATCAGAAACAAATTGAATAAAAATTTGTTCTCCTAATTTTTCAAATGAACCAAAACCAAATTTAATATTTACAAAACAATTTTTATTCTTTAAATACTGAAATTAAATTATTTTCCCCTGCAAGTTGTGGAATCTCATTTTGCACTCAATATTAAATTAAATATTAATCATGTCAGTTTGAGAAAATTAAACAAAGAATCACAGGACACATTTTGAAATTCTGCCTCAAAATCAATAAAACAACTCAGCATTTTAGTCCTGGCATAAATCACTTCAGGAAAATGAAAATATTCTTTTTTTTTTTTTTTTTCATATGTCCAATTAAGGGAAACTTGCAAACTATTCACCCTTTGACCAGCAGCCTGTATTTATTGAGAAATTTAGTGAACAAATGCTCTCCTTCTTTATAAAAACAAATATCAAGGATTGCAGTGAATCTAAGAGAAGAAGAAAACACTTTTCCTTATCCATATGCAAAGACCGAATCTTTATCTTAAAAATATGACATATTGACTGTTATTTTCTTTCTCCCTGAAAACAAGATTTTTGTGCATTTAGTTTAAGAAAGATGACAATAATTATGATGGCTGAGGTAGCTCAAGTGGTTCATAAGATCAAAGATTAAATGTTTGAATTTTCATCCTAAAATGTCCTTAAGGATTAGATTGCTTTTTTCTTTTCTTTGTTTTTTTTTTATTTCCAACTTCCATTACCTGTCATTTAAAATCTCACCTTTTAACTTTTTTTAATCCTAATTGATTAGATACATCTGCCAAAAATATATTAATCTGTTCACTGCATATGACAGGATTTTCAATCATTGGAGTTCTATGGCTCATCTTTGAATGATGAAAATTTCTATCAAGTTATATCCTCTGTTTCTTGAAGTTATTAATTACCCAATGTAGAAAAACAACTGCAAAGGGCTTCATTTGAAATTTAATAGGTAATATTCTAAGTGTTTATTAATGATGCTGCTAGGACCTTTTTGTCTTGACCTTAAAAAAATAGACTTTGTGTTTAACCCAGAAATGGTGGGTATCATCAATTGATTTTTTATTGGAGATCAACAGGCATCATCAATTGATGATTTAAACGTTTTCCAATGATACAACTATCATTCATTCAAATCTAAATTACAAATTTTCTGATTCATGAAGTTACTATTTGTAAGGATTCATGATGTTAAATCATTTCCTGCAAATAAACCTGAAAGAACAAGCCAAAGACAGTGAGTGCTATATCTGCATGCTAACTTCTCAAAGAGAAATGAGTCAATAAATGCATAACTCTATTCTACATGGAATGCTTTGAAGAGTCTTATATTGTTAAAAATATCCAATTTAGGAACATGCAATATTTTTTTTACTTCTGTTTTTTAGATTATAAATATAAAGAAGATTGATTGTTTTTTTATTGTTTGATCTTTTTTTTTATGGTTTATCAACCCTTTGCAGGTTATTTAAAGACAGAAATATTTCTAGATTGTAAGAACACTTTTTTTTGGTAATAATGATACATGTCTTACTAATTAACCCATAGCTGTGGAGAGAAGAGGTAGATTCATACTTTTCCCAAGGGTATTTGCACATAAGTGAATATAGCAAGCCTGACTGGAATTGCAAGCTATCTATTACACTCAAGCTTACAGCACCTCGTATTCCCAAGTGGTCACCCATGTAGGTACTGACCAGGCTCAACATTGCTTAACTTCTGTGATCATACAGGAACTGGTGTTTCAATGTGGTATGGCTGTAAACCATTTAAAGTAAAGTTAAATTCTGATTTTTATCATTTTGGTCTATCAGTGGAAATAACAATAAAAAATACTGTTTTAAAAAAAATCAATTTTTTTCATTTTTTTTTTTACCTTTTCCCACTGTTTAAGGACTAAAAGGGCATTGGATCTAAAGATTAAGGCTTAGTGAAAGTATCATGATCTCATTAAAAGAAAAATAATAAATAAAAAAATGTTTTTGCCAAAATGAGATTAAAAGGGCTTAATGGTGAAAAAAATGTGTACTCTTTTAATCATATAATGCTGTTATGAAGTAGGATTTCCTTTGTATTTTATCATTCCAGTGGTAGACATTTATCTCACATACTCAGAGCTGCTTTACCCTTACTGCTTGAGCATTTATATAATTTATGTCTAATCTATGCTAATTAGGCAGTCATTTACATATCACTACAAATGCTATAAAATTGGACACTTAGGGAAATGATTAGCTAGTATAGAGTTGAACCTTTATGTGTGACTTTATTGTGGCCTTGTACCAGACTGTACTAAATTTACTACAAACTTTCTTATGTCTTCTCTAAATATTCATTATTTGAAGTCGGATAGTTTAACAAGGGGGACAACTCTTACTCATAATTTTTTTTTCTTTATATTTGACTTTGAAATTTTATATAAAAGAAGGCTAATAATAATAATAATAAAATGGGAGAATTTCATTTCTCCACTTGGCAATAAGAATATTTTTTTTGGAAATATATTATTTACTCAGAATTCTTCAAAACACTGGCAATTTCAGATTTTCCAGTTGTTAGACTTATCTCTAAACAATTGGAAGTTTTGATTTGAATCCCAAACTATTCCTATTATTAATGAGTGTCACTAACCAGACACCAGTAAAAAAAGACAAATTTCATACCCTTCTGTCCTATTCTCTAACCAGTGAGCTACACAGACAAACAAATATTATTTATCCTATATTAGAGATAAATACAACATATGTTTATTGTGGATGTTATATAGATAATGCTAAGCTGATAGGGTTTGTTTTTTTTTTTTTTATAAATGTTGTCTGACAAACTTTGAAGAACATATTGGTCAAAGCAATGTGATATAAACAGTAGAGTTTAAAATAACAGATTCTAATGATTCGTTTATAGTAGAAGAGATAAACATTACATTTCTGGACTGTATTTGTGATTATTGGATCTCATTGTCTCATCCTAACCATTGAGCTACATTTCACTAAAACAAGAGATGTTTTTTATTACTCCCTTTGACCTAAACCCTCCCCTTCTTTTCTGCTGCTCCTTTCCACCTCCTCCCTCAGTTGTTCTGTCTTCTTGGCATGCCCCCCCCTCCGGTATACTTCCTCTCTTGCCAATCAGCGTCAAGAATGTAACCCACCACTAACAAAAAAAAAGGGGGGGGGCACAATTTATTTTTTTTGGTTGAAATCCGAAACTGGAAACAGAAAATTGTGGAAGTCTTTCTTCGATTTTTCATTGTTCCTACTTTATTGAAAAGAAACAGAAACAAATAAAACAAAAAATTGTCAAATGTTTGCATTTATTTTCAAATATATTTTTTTCTTTGCAATGAATTTTTGTATAAATTGAACTGACATTAAATACAGTGATCTTTTGATGCACCTATTGTTCTTTTTTTATTTTTTTTTTTTTTTTAATTGATCTCATATTGCAAAAAGAATTCTCTGGTCATTTTAATTTATTTTTTAATTCAGCCATAAAATTGTATTATATGTATTGGTACATCAATATGTCTGCAGCCTTATCATGAAGAAATTCATTTATTTTATTCCCTAAACATTCATTTTTCAATATAATCTCTCTCCTTGTCAATGCACTTATTTCAACGGAGACTATCAATCACATAGTTTGAACATTATCCAAGGTTAAATTCAGGTCAAAATTCAGCTACTGACTGCATATCAGGCTGCAGACTTATTGATCCATCTTTGTACATTCATTTTTTTTTTAATTTATAAATTATGAATATTCAAACAGACACTGAAAAATTCTAAACTCAGCAAAGAAGCCTTTTCAAAAAATACTGGTATTTGATCATTTGGTTAGATTTCAGTAAGTGAATTGGGAAGAGAACTTTTCAGCACCCATATATATATATATATATATATATATATATTTACACACACACACACAAGGTGTCCATAAAGTCCGTGTACAATTTAAAATACTTGCAGCTTAGTAACTATAAATGATGATATAGACAATCTGTAAAAAGGATAAGAAAGCTTATGTCTAGATTTTTCTTGTTTTCAGAAAATTTATTTATTATTTGTTCTACCATTTTTTTTTTCTCAATTTCTTAAAACTTCAAAATAATCTATTTTTGGAAGAATTTTTGAAAGGTGTGTTGTTAAAATGGTGATCACTATTTAGAAATGCTGCAAAATGACTTTATTCCTAAGCTTGGCCATTTAGAACAGAAATGTGCCTGAGCAGGCGTCTGCAGCAAGGATTGGTTAACCACCCTAGAAAATGGGCATCATCAGATACGAGTGGTCAGTCATCCATTGTTACAGAAATTAGATGTTTAACTAATTTCAACTCAGTTTTTTTTTTGGGGGGGAGGGATTTATATATTCATTTATTTTAAGTTTTATGTATCCCATATTATTTCAGTCTTAATTTAGTAAGAACAGGTGATAAACTAAAATATTAGACTTATCTTAATTGTAAGGGATTCATAGGTCATGGTACAGTCAATGACTCTTTGTCTATTAAAAACAGCCTTTTCTAGATCTAAATCATGTTCATGAATGCTCCAATGGCATACAAGTTCATTGAGTATATTTCATTTTCAAGCCCTTTTACATTCATTTTTTTTTTTAATCATTTCACCCCAAGCAAGGCAACAGAGCCACTAAGATGCAAGGGGGGGTTACTGAGTGTAAAAGAATATAATAAAAATATTATTAAGGAGCGAGAACAATAAAAGTAGGAACTAAGAAGACAGAAGGTAACAGTTGACATTGCATTTAAATTTTTGAATATCAAACTTGACTGGAATGCAAGAAGATGAAAGAGAGTTCCACAACTGAGAAGAAACTGTTAACATAGAACTTACCGTTACATCTAGCCATTTTGACAGTAAAAGGATAAGTTCTTGTCACCAATCTACTAATACACTTAAATTCATAGTCTAGGCATTGTAAAGAAGTTCATTAACTTACGTTTTGGTATGTTTTACCAATATATTTTCTCAAAGGATACAGTTGAAGCAAAAATCAAGCGTTCATTTGCTTAATGTGAATTACATATCGTTTTGCTAATGTAGATTTTGTTGAATAAAATTTTTTTTTTGATGATACTGGTTCATCAGTACTGCATATAAAAATAAATTGTTTCATATATTTACCATATGGTGTTATGTAAAATATATTTATTATGTATAAATGTACATGTACTAGTAGACTGAGGTTAATAAATAAAATAAAAATATTTCTTAAATCCCCTGAAAAGTATCATCTACTTGGCACTTCGTTAACATTAACACTGGCCTTCTTAAGGACAGATCAAGCAACTAACTTTGTTTTTTTAAACCAGATACTTGGATAAGTGAAACAAAAAATCAAAAACCCTGTACCAAAATGAAGTACAATCCTACATGCATTCTTGGCTACAGTATAAACTCAAGAAAAGAGGGATTTGAGGTCAGTTCTTTTTACCCTTTCACCTGAAAGCAGGACAGGCTGGTCCACTCCACTAACCACCAAAGAACTAATCAAGAAGACTGTCTGCTACAAAGGAGGGTCTCTCTCTCTCTCTCTCTCTATATATATATATATATATACTGCAAGATACAAATTCTGTCTCACATAAAAGATACAAGTTTGTATCTGTGTAAAAAAAGAAAATGAACCATTTTGAATGTGAAGACCAACATTCTGCACCAACTTTCACACTGGTAACCCTGACATGATAAAGAATTATCATTTACAGCAGCATTTTACAAACCTTTTTTTTACTGCAACCCACAGCAAGAACCACACTTTGCATTACTACCCATTATACCTACATGTAATAAATCAAAGACAGACTCTGTTCACTAGATTAATTTAACAACAACAATTTATATATATATATTTATTATGATCTGCACATTGCATTTATCTATTTGTATTATCTATTTGTATGAATATAAAATTATTACTTTAAGAAAAACAAATTTAAAGGAAATTACATCACTCAGTCTGCAACAAGTTAGACGAACAAGATACATAAACTCAATGAGAACAGACTATATATATATATATATATATATATATATATATATATCAAGTATGTGGTGCAGTTCAATTTACATTACATGAATCTGTTTTTGTATGAATGATTCATGTAATATATATATATATATATATATATATATATATATATAAAATCATATTTAAAAAAAATAAAATATAATACAAGCTTACCTTGGTGAAAAACTAGCCATGATTTATGCATGCTGTGCAACATTTAGAGTTGTTTATATTCAGCACTTTACTCTCACTTGCATATTTTTTTCTTTCTTTCTTTTTTTGTTGCAACCCATTTTATTTATCTCATGACCCACTGAAGGATTTGAACCCAGTTTGGAAAACTCTGGCTTAGAGCAAGCAAAGCTAATTAATAATAATTATACTAATATGTAATTGATTGTTATTCAGTTACATTTTAGTCTTGCCTCAGGTATGTACAACAATATTCTATATTTTTTAACTTCTCTACTGGCATATACTCATCTCTCCATCTACGCACACACATGGGCCAATAAATAAGCAAAAACCAAAATGGCAAAATATTAAATTTTTAATGGTTTTAACAACAAACCATTATCCAGGAAAAAAATTAAAGGCAACATAGCATTTCCCTTTGATTTCAGCTTCGGCTGTATCATGAAACACCAATTCTCATACAATCACCGAAGTTAAGCAATGTCAAGCCTGGTCATTACCTCAATGTATAACCACTTGGGAATATGAGGTATTGT